TGCCTCTGAAATTCGCATTTTCGTCTCAGTGCTCCAAAACTTGTGGCCGCGGCACAAGAACCCGAGAGTCATACTGCATGAGCAGCCTGGGCCGCCGGCTATCTGACAGTGAGTGTGCCAGCCTCCCCCGCCACAGCGCCGAGACCTGTGCCGACACAGCCTGCCCCGAGTGGGCGTCCGGCGAGTGGACTGAAGTGAGACCACCGTCCCTCCTTGACCTCCTCACATCCCCACGTGTGCTGCTCCTCCCTTGCTCACCCCGGTTCTCTCATCTCCACCTCAGTGTCTGGTGACCTGTGGAAAGGGCTCGAGGCACCGAGAGGTCTTCTGCCGCATGGGTGAGGAGACGCTCAACGAGCAGCTCTGTGACCCAGACACCAAGCCCCCGGCAGTGGGAGTCTGCCAACTCCCCGAATGCGCGTCCTGGCAAGTGGGAGCCTGGGGCATGGTAAGTCAGCCATGGTTTCGTGTTGTGTGGGATTCAGAGTAGGATGGATGGGTCTGGGCAGCACCTGGAATAGTAAGGTTTGGGTTGGGGTGGATTAGCCACAGAACCAATAGACGAGCCGGGTTTAGGGAAGAGTGGGTTCAACCAGAAGACCTGTGGAAGTTTTGGGTCTGCAGTAGGGTAGAGAACAATAGAGGATCCATGGAAATGATCTGGCAAAGGGTGAATAAACTAGAGAACCCATGAAAAGTGTGGTTTAGGGACGGGTGGTTTTAGCCTATGAACCTATGGAAGATTCTGGTCTGCAGTAGGATGGATAAAGGTAGAGGATTCATGGAGGAGGAGGGTCTGCGATAAACTGTGAATGAGGTGGGGGACTTAAGCAGAGTTTATACCAGGGAATACGGTAATCCTCATAGCGGCTTTATTAACTGCGTTAACATGCCTTATCCATTCAAGCCTGTTATTGTTACTGTGGTGAAATGCTGATTAAAATATTTCCTAAGGCAGCTTGCAGTTATAATTTGTTATTCAGTGTTATTTAAACAAATCTGAGGTCATGCATTATCCTGTTATTATTTATCTACAAATCCATGAGATGGGGGTTAGGGTTGGCTTTTTAGGAGCCCCTGTGCCGTGATGCACATCTGTAATATATGACTGATCTTTGGCTGTCGCTTTCTTGATGTCCTCATGGGGGCGCTCTCCCATTGCAGTGCACTGTGACCTGTGGCCATGGCTACCAGATGCGGGCGGTGCGCTGTGTGTCGGGGACCTACGGAGAGACACTGGATGACTGGGAGTGCAACGCCGCCTCCAGACCCAGGGACAATCAGGTGATCATGTGTTCCAAACCCCGACCCCATCTGACAGGATAGCACCTCTGTAATATTGTTACCCCGATGACCCTGATCAGCACTATGGACGTCTAACAGCTGCAGCATGTTGTCTGACCTCTCCA